ACACACACACACACACACACACACACACACACACAAGATAGTTAAGATAATTGTTCTACTAATTTGGTTTATTGAAAGGAACAGTTAATGCTTAATTTTTTGACCAATTTTACGTGCTTATATCTGGTAATCTGAACAACTACTTTGGGCTGGGGATTTAGCTCAGCAGCACAGCGCCTGTCTGGCAAGCACAAGGTTGTGAGTTCAATTCCCAAAAAATTCAAAAAACCAAAAAAAAACCAAAAAAAAAACCAAAAAAAAAACCAAAACCAACTACTTTGAAGACAACAATATGCAATATAACAGCCATTGTTGAGTTCCTATCATTTTGTTTTTTGGAAATTCTGTATCATTTCTAATGTTATTTTTTATTCTCTTTAAAATAAAAAAAGAAGAAAAGATTTCATTGAATTTTCAATTAGAGCCAGGTGTGGTGGAGCACGCCTGTAATCCTAACACTCGGGAGACTGAGGCAGGAGGATCGTTGCGAGTTCAAGACCAGCCTGGGTTACAAAGTGAGCTCAAGGCTAACCTGAACTGCATACTGGAGACCCTGTCTCAAAGAGACCAAATAAATAAATAAATAAATATTTCAATTAGAGTAGCCACATGTGGCTAGTAGCTACTGTATTGGGCAGCTGTTGTATAAGAGTTGGGAAGTGGTTCTTACTTGTCTCTGTATGACTAGCTTTTGGTTATGAGTCTTTTGATAAAAACACAGGTGTGAATTTGTGCTCCCCTTTGTCTAAATTTTTTAAGTTGTTGACAGGGGACAGGGAGCCACCTAGGCCAGGAAACTTAATTGTTTTAATCCCCTTCAAGGCTCCAGCAGAGGTGACAAATGCACTTGGGAACTGCATTTGGAAGCTGATCTCCACATTCCCAATGTTCTTCCTGTAATAATGAGATACGAGGCCCCTGGAGTCAGGGTGAATTGCAGGCAGGATTAATTCTCCAACTAATCAACAGTCATCCTTTTTTTCCATGAATGAGGAACAGCTATTATTCTATTATTATTGGGGCATGGTTTAAAATACCTTGTAAATGCCAAAAGTTGTGATGTATCTACAGGGCCATTGAGTACAGTAATAAAATCTCACAGAAAAGTGTTCCAACCTCCATCTCCCAATGACTGAGTTTGGAAACACTGGTTTCAGAGCTAGGTCTGTGATGTTGGGGGTCAATCTTTTATACTCTTAAAAAAATTGTAATAAAGTGTAACAACTTTACGTGTATCATTGGTGCATTTTTACATATGATTTGTACCCACCACTCACATCAATATATAGAACATTTCCACCCTCACTGGATGTGTCTTTCCCTTAAGATTACTATTTGTGTACATTAGTTTTACCTGTTGTTGAGACTTAGCTAACCAGAAGCAGATATGTACTCTCTCATGTTCTGCTCCATTAGATGAACACCATTTAGCACCATTAATCTCCCATGAAGCCCATTTACCCACGTGGCGAGCCATCCACGATGTATGCTGTGTGTATCAAAGTTTGTTACTGCTGCTGTGTATAATTCCATTTTGTGAATACCCCAGTTTGTCTCTCCATTCACCCTGCTGATGGACATCTGGACTGCTCCTGGAGTTTGCCTGTTACGAATAAAATCAGCACAAACATTATCTGGTGTGTATGCTTCTGGGCACATGTCTACCCACGAATGAAATTCAAGGGTCATAAGGTTAGCATTTGTTTACTTTAGTAAGAACTGCTCAACAATTTCCCCAACTCTCTTAATCTCTCTTTAAAACAGGAGGACTACACCTACTCTACCTGACAATATTTTATTGACCCTTAGGTGTAAGGCATTAAGTCCTACACCTGGAACACAGCGGCCGTTCAATAATCGCCGGGCTATGCCCCAGGAAGTGCCCTGTGCTTGGGCAGGGAAGGACTCGGCAAGCATTGCAGAGGTACCTGCGCCAGGCCCTTGGGAGGAAAAGGCCTCTTCCACACAGCATGCACTACACCCAACTCAACCTCGGCGTCCTCCGACCTCTCCTGCTCCCCGGGGCCCAGCGCAGGCATCGCCTGGGTAGGCACTCACGCCGCTCTGACTTTTGCGTGTCATTCGACGTCTACTGAGCACTTTGTGCCTGGCCCTTGGGACTACCGGTTTGCGAGTGGACCCTGGACTTGCCCTGGCAGGAGCCTCCAAGAAAGAAAACAATCTACTCCTTCACGCTACACCTCCCACCCGGGTGCCTCCAGGCCCTCCCACCACGGCCAGGTACCCGCCCCCTGCTGCACAGTCCGTGAAGCCCCGCCCCGCCGTCCGGCCAATGAATGCGCGGGCCCGGCCCGGCCCCGCCCCTCGGCCCTGGGAAGGTTCGGTGCAGGCCGCTACGGTCTTCTGGTCGCCCGGGTCGTGGCTGCCTTAGGTAAGGTCGCTACCCAGGCGCTCGGTCCTTGGGCTCTGCATACCCCTCCGCCCTTCGCGGAGGTGGGCTGAAGCGGCCGGAGCCGAGGGGGACTCCGAGTCCGCCGGGGCACTTGAGGGTTGGGGCGCGCTGCGGGCCTGGAGGGGACAGGGCGCGCGGCACTCGGTAACACCGAGGTTGGGGACACCGCGGGCTCCACCCGTCGCGTCCAGCGTCCGGAGGGACGGGGAATGTGGCCCAGGGCGCCTGCTCGGAGTCGGAGGAATGGTTGGGCCAGAAGGAGGTGGACTGAGCTCCTTCCGTCCTCTGGGGCCCCGGGGTGACCCTCAGGCGAGGCGCAGCAGGGTGCACCGCTCTGTGGCTGCCACGCCTGGGAATCAGGGCCGCTTCCTAACCCCCGGGTACTGACCATTCTCGGCGGTGACGCCTGCTCAAAACAGCCTGCCTGGGGCCCTCCCAGGAACCCGATCCGAGGCTGCGAGGCCCGTCCCTCGGGAGGGTAGATGTTCTTTCTGCGACGCCCTCGGAGAGTCTCTGGGCTGTCAGGTCGGAAACTTGGCCGCGTCAGAACTCCCTTTTTGTGAGATTGGAAGAAGGTGCCAGGGAACGGATGGAAATAAAACAAAGCAAGAACAATGTCCTTTGTATGGATGCTATAAAAACTAAAACGTCTTGGAGGACAGTCAAGCGACCAGGGAACCGAGGCTAACGTTAGTGGACACGGGGTAATGCTCTCAGCACTGTCCGAGACGATCTCCATTTCTGGCAAGAGAAAAGACTAAATTTTGCATCCTCCTGGGTGCACCCTCAGTGACCCATTCCCACCCCCACGGTGACCTTGGGCCCTCCCAGGACTTGAAGGCAGGGGACTGTGTAGCTGTCACTTGCTGAAGGGCCCACTGTGCCCTGCAAGGTGTACGCCCATCTTCAAGGGGGCAGCAAATCTTGGGTCCTACATGGATCCTGACCAGGTGTGGAATTTAGTATCACTTACCCTCTTCTGGGACAGTTTCAAGGATTAAGAGAAAGAATCTTAGGATGAGCCGTCAATAAAAGTGAACAAATGTGGGCTTCCTTTCTTTTTGGTGGGCCCACACTCACTCCCCTCTGTGCCTTGAGGGTTGAGGGTGGGCTGCTGAAGGCAATCTCACCTGACTCCCTCCTGCTACCTTCCTAAGTGCCAAGGGAGGGGAAGGAGAAGGTCTCCATAAAGCTCCACAGAATTGTTCTCTGTTCATCTCCCGCAGACTCAGAAGACCCCTACCTCCCTGAACTCCTGACCTCTTGTCACTACTGCCTGTCTTACCAGGAATGTAGTGCCTGGTGGTTGACAAAGCAAGGCATGCAACATGGGGCTGTGAGGCCACCAGACAGGACTGCTGCCCTATCTTCCGAGTGGCAAGGACCTGCCCCCCGCCCCCGGAAGATGTGGACATTTTCCTCTTGGTGGCTCTGTCTGCCTCCTTTCCTACCCTACAGTACCCTTGGAATCAAACACCATCTTTAGCTTCACTTGTTCAAAACGGAGCACCTGGGTTCCCTCTTTACCACACCCCTCTCCTGCTTCTATGACTGGTAAATGGCATCTTGCTCTTACTCCGAGCCCAGGAAGCCTTTGATTCTCCCCTTTCCTTACCTCTCACATCCACCAAACACCAGGATTCACTGCCCAGTGTCCATGATTACCTGACCATACTCCTCGTGTCTCCCCTGCTGCGGCCTCCTGACTTCTCCCTCCTCCCACCCTTGTCCCTCCATAGTCCTCACTGCTGCTGGGGAGACTGTTAGATCTCAGATCCCCTCCACTCTTTCAACAGCACCCTGTTTCACTCCTAAATAGTCCTGCCCTATCACACTCTGCCACGTCTTGACCTTGACTGTTGCCCCACCCCTTGGCTTTCTAAACTTCAGCAAAACTGGCCTGCTTTCTATTGTGTAAACATGTCAAGCTCTTCCTATCTTAGCACTTTTGCATTTGCTGTGGCCTCTGTCCCAAATACCAATCTTCTCAGCGCTGAAAATGTCCCAGCTGAAGTGTTGCCAGTTCAGAGGGGCTCCCTTGGCCACCTACTTAAAGCAGCATGCCCATCTCTGGGGCTCTGTCTCATTGCACTGCTTTTTTTTTTTTTTTTGGTTTTTCTCCGGTACCGGGAACCGAACTCATGACCTTGCACTTGCCAGGCAGGCGCGTTGCCGCTGAGCTAAATCCCCAGCCCCTTGCACTGCTTTATTTTTGCTATAACCTGTATAACTTCCTGGGATTCTTCTTTAGGTCTATGTTTACTGCTCTGTCCCATCCAAAAGACTATAAATTGAATGGTAGGATACAGCTTTGTGTCTTATTCTCTGTAGCACTCCCTGGTGGGGAGGCAAATGAGAAACAGGCAAACACATCTATAACTGCAAAATGTGGTAAGTGCTGTATAAATAATGCTTGTATTTGAGGGACTTGATTAAGTTTTTATGTCTGAACTACTATATTGTCAAAACAAGCCATTTTAAGGAGAAGCCTAGAAAAGGCTGGTAACTGGCTCTGGGTAACCACATTAGTTCTCATAAGAATGTAAATGTAGTGGGCTTTAATGGTGGGCCTAGAGTCACATTCCTGCTCCCAGAGACCTGAGTTCTTTGTTTGTCCAGTTGCTAGCAAGCCTCTTAATTTCTTGGTACAGCACCTTCATGTTCACAGTGGGATGACTCCATTATTATCACATTGGGCTTCTTTTTCCTTTCAGTGTATGCAAAATTTGTAGGCAGCCTGCTTGATATCCTGGCATACTGCCTTAGGGCCAGGAGGGGAACCATGCTGTCATGGGGACAGTAGCTCAAGGCACGTGCAGCCCCTCACCCCCACATATGTCAGGGGCACACACAGACCCTTCTCAACACTGACCAACCTGCAGAGAAATGAGGCTTCTTTTTTTTTTTTTTTTTTGGTACCGGCAAGCAAACTCAGGATCTTGCACTTGCCAGGCAGGCGCTTGTGCCACTGAGCTATATCCCCAGCTGAAATTGACCCTAGATCTTCTACATCTAGTTTTTTCTGGTCATCAGTTCATTGTTTTTTTCTTGTTGGTTTTTATTTGTTTGTTTTTTGTCTTTTTGACACAGGGTGTCACTATGCAGTTCAAGCTGGCCTTGAGCTCACTTTGTAGCCCAGGCTGGTCTCGAACTAGCAATGATCCTCCTGCCTCAGCCTCCCGAGTGCTGGGATTGCAGGTGTGCACCACCATGCCTGGCTTCATTTTTAAGCCAGTTGTTTGAAAGCCTTTGGGACCAGATAGTAATAGCATAGGAGGTTCAAAGAAATTAAAGAAAAACAGCAAAAATTTCAAAAAGTTGAGAAAGAATTGCCTTTCATTCGGTACCACTCCCAATCCTGTTGCTGTGTGTGATTTCTTTTCTTCCAGTCTTTCTGTCTCTCTCTCAGGCCACCTACCTTACACAGAGCCGGAACCCTTTCTTGAAAAGCTGAGCAGCCATGACCTCCGCCGAGGAGAAGACCTATAAGTTTATCCGCCACCATCATAGTGATTTCTGGCCTGTTGATGTTCTGGAGATTCTTCCTTACCTGCCCTGCCTGACATCCAGTGACCAGGTGAGCCAAGGAAGTGACAGCTGTCACCGGTCTGGGATCAAGGCTGTGGAATTCCGAGCTCAGCTCCACCCAGTTCTTCACCCAAGCCGGGGCCAGCTCTTTGCTCTCTTTTGTCTTGTGTTGCCTCATCCTTGCTGCTTTTCTGCCTTTTAGGTCCAGTGTAGTTCGAGTGTTTTTGTAGCCTCACTGACTCCCTCTTGCGTTGTTTTTGTGTAGTACTCAAAAACATGGCTCTGATGTCCTGTGAATTCCCGGCTCCGATTCATTGACTTACCACTTAGTTCCGGCAAACTTCTCTTCCCTTCATCACTCTTGTCCTGGTCCTGCTCAGTTTTGATTCCATTTTTCATGGGACTCTGTCCTGGCAGGGAGCCCTGGGACCCAACCTTGAGGACTCATAGGCTCCAGATTGCTCTCGCCCCTGCAGACTTACTGCCAGCCTCTTGGACAAGTGGTGAGGCAAAGCCCCGCCCGGTTTTAGCAGCTCCCAGCCCATGGGACACCTGTGTGCCAGTGGGAGCCTGTGGGCTCCTAAACAGACTCCAAAGAGCCCTATCCTCAGGTGTCTCAGGAGTACTTTGCTTCCAGTGTGTGTTCCCACATAGATACCATTAGCATGCAGGTCTGGAGCCTGTGGGGTTTGGGGGGCTGTGGGGCTACCTTGTCAGGGAGTTTATAGCAAACATTATCTGTGGGTTTCATTCCTGTTTGGTTTTCTTTGTGCACGTGTGTGTGTGGTGTGGTGTGCTGGGTTCCAGTCCAGGGCCTTGCACACACTAGACAGGCACTCTGCCCCTGAGCTATACCCACCAGGCCTGCTGCGTGCTTTCATGTGAGAATTCAGGTCAATATAAAAACCTCAGCTGCTACCATCTTCCTAGACTTTCCCCCGTACTCTCAGCCCCTCGTTTCTCCTTCTTGGCAGCCTCTCTTTTCTGCTTTTCCCCCTTTCCTATGATGGTTGTTATACACTGTTGCCTTCTCTGCTCATCCAAACCTTTCCCTGTGCTTTGGGGCTGTCTAAACCCAAGGCTTAAGCTGGGTGTGGTGGTGCATGTACTCGGGAGGCTGAGGCAGGAGGATCGCTGTGAGTTTGAGGCCAGCCTGGGCTGCGAAGTGAGTTCAAGGCCAGCCTGAACTGCATAGTGAAACCCTGTCTCAAAAAGACAAAATAAATAAACCCAAGGCTTTTCTTGGTGTAGAGCTCTTCCCTACTGCAATAGGATCTCTGCTACTTTGCTTCTCCTAAGCCTCAGTTTCCTCATCAGGGAAGTGTTTAACACCACAACTGCACAGCCGTAACAGAGAGCACAGGGCGCAGTCACAGCTGCTTCTTGGTAGCTGCTTTTGTTGTTGCTGATTGCTCTTCCTCCATCTATGCCTGGTTCCTAACCCTGGCCTTGTCTTGGTCCCTGCTCTGGCTTCAAGTGATGGCTTTTCTCTTGCAGCTTCTTGGTGCCCCCTCTGCAGCGCCCTCTCCTGGATGGGGAAGGGGCTGGAGCTGAGGCTGCCTGGCCTGAGCAGAGGGGCTGTGCTGTCTTCCAGGATCGACTACGCGCCACCTACACGCGCATAGGGAACAGGGACACACTGTGGGACCTCTTCAACATCCTCCAGCGGCGGACGGGCTGGGTGGAGTCCTTCATCCAGGCACTGAGGCTCTGTGAGCTGTCTGGGCTCGCCGATGAAGTGAATCGTGTCTACCAGAGCTCCCGGCCTGGTGGTAAGCTGCCTGCCCTGCTTCCTCCTGGACCCCTCTCCCAGCTCTCCTCTCCCACTCCCCTCCTCCTGTCCTTCTCGTCATCCTCCTCGCATTGCCCTTGGCAGTGGACACACGGGGTGAACAGGGTGAACATCCCAATAGCCAGTTATCAGCTGTGTAATTTCCTGGAGCTCCAGTCTCCTCTGCAAAGCAGGGTAACAGCAGCGTCTGTCCCTTGGGGCCGCCGAGGTGGGCAGACACCATGGGTGACACCTGCTCAGGAACACGTGGAACTTCCTCTCATCTTTGTGCCTGCGGTCTTTGCCACCCATTTTTCATTTCCGCTCTGTCCCCTCTTCCTCACCCATTTCTTCTCCCTGTCTCTCTCCACTTGTCTTCCCTTCTTTGAATCCCTGAGAACATTCTGGTCTCCCCCTTTGCCCAAGGCGCCTGGTTGCTCCTTACCCCTCTCGTTTAATGCCTCCTGCCAGTCCCAGTGCCCAGAGGGGATTTGGTGGGCTGAGGTCTGAGGAAGAGAGCTCAAGCCAGCCCTATTTATACCTCAGACCAGAGGCAACCCCTGGGGCTGTGGTCAGATCTTCAGCTCTGGGACACCCCTCGTTTGCTTTCTCCTGTTTTTCCTGCTCCCTTCTTTCCTAACTGGTCTTTTCATTTGTGGAGATCAACAGTGATCCTCCACAATGCAGACAGCTATGGTAAGGCCAGAGATGGGTGGTGGCGGGGGCCAGTGAAGGGTGACAGCCATGAGGAGCAAGCCTGGGGACAGAGAAGGGGGACTGTTGACACGGCCCAGGTGCTAAGAAGCCTTGAGCCCCACCTCCTGCCTTTGCCACCTCTCCTGTCCTCTGCAGCTCCTCTCCCTCCCACTCCTGTCCCTTCCCCAGTCATGCCTGTCACGAGAGGATCCCGCATCAGGTCAGTTTTTGGAGCTGCAGTGGGAGCGAGGGGCCCCGGAGTGTCCAGGCCTCTCCTGTCACTGGGAGTACCCTTGTTCCCTTCTTGATATCACTGTATCTGTTCTCCAGGAACTCCACCCCGGGTCCCAGGCCCCGCGGAGGCACCGGAAGTTCCTGTGAAGGTTCCAGAAGCTCGTGCATCTGGTGCAACCCACAACATCCCCCACAATGGCTACCGAGAGGAGCCAAGTTACCCCCGGCCTATCCAGGATACCCAGCCACCCAAGTCCCCCAGAGAGGTATGTCCTCACAGTGTACCCCGGGCCTCCTGCTTTTGTGTTCCTGTGTGCCAGCTTCTGTCTACCTGCCTTCCAGAGGCCCTCTCTGCTCTCACAACCATGCCTAATCTCTGCAGAGAACCCTAGCACTCCCTCCATGTAGAGCGGTCCCACCTACTTCCAGAGTCTGTCTTCAGCAGCTGGGAGGTCATGTTATGGAAGTCTTTTTGGTGGTCATGTGAGACATTGAGCTGGTGGAGGAAACTGGGGAGGGAGTGGGAGGCCATGGGTGAATGGTGGGGCTATTATCATAAGTAAAGTGTGGGGAAAAGATGGCCAGCTCTGATGAGATGTGATGAGTGGGCCATGGGGTGTCTAGGAGGCACTGAGCTATGGACTGGAAACCATGGGGGTCTGGGTAGAAACTCCTGAAGAAAGGGCTCTGTGTAGTGACCACAGAGAGAGACCTAGCCACAGGGCCAGAGAGGCTGAAGATCCTAATGAGATGTGGTTTGTTTTTTAAAGTGCTGAGAATGGGACCCAGGGCCTCATGCACACTAGGCAAGCACTGTACTACTGAGCTACTCCCCCAGTAACCTGGCCTGTGTTTTTTGTGGACAGAAGGTGTAGCAATGACTAGATGCATGGCTCTTTTGGTTCCTGTGATACCCCATGAACATGAGCTGCCCTTTGCCAGTTTAGGGGGCACAGCTGTCTCATTCACACTTTCCCTCTTGCAGAGCTCAGAGCAGGCCCCACAGACACCCAGTTCAGGGGCCATCCCGAGGAGGCCTAGTGGATCCTCGGAGCCCTCTTCTAACCTGCCAGGCCTCAGCCCTCTGACCCCCAGCGGGCATCAGGAGCAGAACCCAGAACTGGGCAATACCCACGGGGCAGGTATGCATGGAACGTGGCGTTATAGGGCCTCTCTGACCTTTCAGGTGAGCCCTAGGATCAGAGTTCTACTGTGGGCTCCTTGGGCAGGAGGCAAGGGCAGAATAATGGGTGTTACCCCGGGGAGCAGCCTGTTCCTTAGTGAGTATACCAGTTAGTTAGCATTTGCTGTATAGTAAACAGTCCAAAGATATATTTTCAATAGCTGAAAGTACAGACATCATGTAGCACATGGCTGACCCAGCTGGGCATTTCTGATTTTGCTGAATTTCCTCCATACACTTACTGGTGTAACCCTATGCTCTGCTTCTGCCCACGGGCTGGGGGCCTTTGTTTGCTTCTATAGTCCCCTTCCACCCCACTCCCCTTCCCTCCTCTCTCCTTCTTTCCTTCCTTGTCTTTGTTTTTATGGTACTGATTGAACGCAGGGAGCACTGAACATCCTAGCATTTTAAAAAATTTTATTTTGATTAAAATAAAATAAATACAATTTTATTTTGATTAAAATAAAATAAATACAATTTTATTTTGAGATAAAATTTCCTAAATTTCCCGGTCTTGGCTTGGACACACAATACTCTTGCTTTAGCCTCCTGAGTAGCTGGGATTACATACACATGCCACCATGCCCAGTAGGTCCCTTGTTCTTTAGCCTATGTCAGGGCAGCTGGACAGAGCTCTGAGTGTGTGTGTGTGTGTGTGTGTGTGTGTGTGTGTGTGTGTGAGTGTGAGTGTGAGAGATTGATCGATCCTCAGGCATTGACTCAAAACTGGCAGTGTCCCTCCTGCGCTGTTCTGCAGACAAAGCAAGTTATAAAGCCAACCTAGCTGGGTGTGGTGGCACAGGTCTGTAATCCTAGCACTTGGGAGGCTGAGGCAGGAGGATTGGCATGAGTTCAAGGCTAGCTTGGATTACACAGTGAGTTCAAGGCCAGCCTGAACTACATAGCAAGAACTTGACTCAAAAAACAAAACAAATAAACAAAGCCAGTCCAGATTCAAGGAAAGCCAGCTTCATTCTCAGATGGAGGACCTGTGCAGTCGCACCACAGTGTGTGGTGATTACTGTAAGGGGGTGTTGCTCTACACCGCTGTGTAGGTGGGGAAGAGAACTGGGGCCATTCTGCACTCGCCAAAGGGACCCTTAGGGATCAGCCAGGGCCTGGAGGACAGGGAAGGACAGTACAGGGCTGGGCCAGCTGTTGGCAGGGAGCCTTAGGTACTGCTCTACCCCGAAGGGGTCTCTAGTTCCCAGCAAATCAGTGCAGTGCCTAATCCTCCAGAGTAAGTACGGCCTTTATCAGCCAGCAGCCTGTCCCCCACCCGACCTTAGTGCTCCCTTAGGGGTTTGGAGCTGCCCACCAGACCTGCCAGGCTGGCATGCAGCTCCTCTGTTTGCTAGACTGAGTTTCACCTGATACTGGTGCTGGCCAGCCCTCAGTGCCCTGGGACGGCCGCAGACACGAGAATAGTTAAAGGCTGAGAGAAGCCAAGGTGCCCCCCATTCCTGCCACACGCCCCCAAGCACCTGTTTGCGCTTTGCGTGTCAGCCTGTCCTGGAATGCCTCTCAGGAGGTCCTCCTGGGGGCCATGGAGGCAAAAAGTGCTGTGATTTCAACACATTCCTGGATACACAGGTCCTATGAGATGCTAAGGTGTGACGTTTAGGAGAGGGGACATCACACATCTCTCTTGACCTTTGTCAGCCTTGGGGCCTTGTGTGTACACATTCAGTTTCATGGAGAATCCTGATACTTCCACCTTTATGGACTGTCACAATCTGCTACTCTGTGCTTTCCTAGGTCAGGCTCTTCACAGGGATGGCTTTGTCCTTACCCCTGAGGGCTGGCCAGCCGTGGGTGCCACTTGATTGGTGTGAGTGGCTCTGCTTGAGTCACCCTCCTGTCCTTTGCTGTGATCCAGGGTTGCTCCTGCTCAGGGATGCAGGGGGACTGCAGTGAGGGGAACGTCCAGGATTCCACCAGGCTAAAGGAAAAGTTGAAAAAGCGGCAGGAGTCGGCAATGTGTATCCCAGGGAGGAGAAGAAAAAGCAGACAGAATAATTAATAATGACCAAGGTCTTGGGTGTGGTTAAAGGGAGGGACCTTTTCACTGTTGTGACAGGACAAATTTGGGGCTACAGGTCAAGGACAGAGGGCAGCTATGGAGCATTCAGGGCAGCAGCAGAGACTGGAGTTTCTTCCATGGGCAGGAAATTTGGAGGTTTGGATGCAGTAGGGGCGGTGTGACCTGGGGCAGAGGGACCCTTCTCCCTGGCCCTGAGGACAGCAGTCCTTTGAAGTTGTGTTTCTGTTTCTCACACCTGCAGGCCCAGTCTCCAGTCCCACATCACCCCGAGGGCCTGTGTCTCCAACTGTCTCCTTCCAGCCCCTGGCCCGCTCCACCCCCAGGGCGAGCCGCTTGCCTGGACCTGCAGCTTCAGCCGTGTCTGTCGGCCCCTCCTTCTCCTCCTCCCCCTCTTCCACCAGCTTGTCTTCTGCAGGCGGTGCTGGTAACCAAGCCAGGGCCTCCATCTGCCCCAGTGAGATACCCACGGAGGTATCCACCAACTCTGTTACTACCAGCTCAGTGCCTTCTCCCACCACCCTGAAGCCCGTGAGCACTGTGACCTCCAAGGTGCCTGCCAGCCCAGCACCTGTCAGCACTGTGCCTTCCAAGGTGCCCACCAGCTCCAAGACCCCTGGCGCTAATGTGCTCTCCAACCCAGCACCATCCAAACTGCCTGTCAACTCAACACGTGCTGGCATAATGCCATCCAAGGTGCCCGCTAGTGTGGTGTCCACCAAGGCACTGGCCAACACAGTGCCATCCATCAGGAGCAGCAGCAGAGACAAGGTGAGTCCTTGCCCTTACTGGCTGTAACTCATGTCCCTTTCTCCTGGAGAGCTTGCGTTTTGGGTGCCATCCTGGAACCCTTTCCAGTCTCCAACCTGTCTTCTGCCTGGACAAGTCCATGGCTTCTCTGAGTGTATAGGGACAGGTGAGAACCAGCCCCATCCAGCCCCACACCATGCCCTCTGGGAGCTACAACAGCCATGGGGTGATCCTCAGCGTGGACTCCCAGGAGGGTGAGGCATAGGCCACCTCCACTGGCCATGTGCATGAACTCTTTTTTTTTTTTTTTGTCTTTTTTTGAGACAGAGTCTCCGTATGTAGTTGAGGCTGGTCTTGAGCTCACTTTGTAGCTCAGGCTGGCCTCGAACTCGCAATGATCCTCCCGCCTCAGCCTCCCGAGTGCTGGGATTACAGGTGTGTGCCACCACACCTGGCAGTATGAACTCTTTTAGAGCCTGCAGCCCCCATTTAAGCTTAAGCTCTCTGTTTTGTGGATGGGGAAGCTGTGAGCATTTACTCGATGCCTTGCTGTTCACCACCAGGATGTCTGGCCTGTCCCTGCATGTCCAGGCTTTGTAGCCAGCAGTCCCAGGCTTCCAACCTGGAGCAGTTACTCTGACTAAGCAGCCCCCACAGCTGCCTCTTCCAGGGCCACAGACCACTGGTGTCTGCTTGGAGAAACTGAGTCCATGGGGTCTCAGGATGCCGTGTCTGCTCCGTGGCTCTCAGGCCCAGCCGGAATGTCCCTACATAATGGGTCCACACCAGGCCAGTGAGGGGAAGAAGGCTACTCTGGAAGAGGCCATCAGGGGTATATGCGGGTGTAAGGGGTTGGATTCCCAAGAGGGTGATCTTGGGCACTGTGGGCTAGGAACTGAGGAGTTGAGCTGCTGCTTCATGCCCTGGCCTAGGAGCAGGGCCAACCCAGCCTGGCTTGTCTCCCTGCCCTCCGCAGCCCCTTGCAGAGGTCTCCTTTATTTCTCAGGAGACCCCAGAGGCTCCAGCACCCACAGCCATTGTTGGAGGCAGCTCACCCTGGCCAAACAGCAACTCTGGGAGCTTACACTCTCCATCGGAAATGAGCAAGCCTGGCAAGCTGGAATCCCGGCTGGACAGCCAGCCATTCTCCATCTGTTCTGCAGACCTTGCCATCAGCCCCAGTAGCTCCCTGGCCTTAGAGCCCAGCCATGGCCCAGAGGAGAACGAGTACACGTCCTTTGGGATCCATGTGGCTGAGGACCCCAGTGCCAACCTCATGGCTGGCAACCCTGGGCCACACACTGTCTTGCAACCCCAGGAACTGCAGGAGATCGAAACCAGCTGGTCATGGCCCTGGGCTTCCTGGCTTGGAGCAGCTGCGGCAAGTGCACTCCTGGCTGTGCTCCTGGCGGTACTGTACCGGCGGCGCCCACTCCAGTGAGGCCTCGGCTTTCTGCACCATGCATCTGTGCCTCACTGTGCATCTGTGTCACAGTGCACTTCTTCCAGGCCGACAGGCTGGGTCAGAAGGGAGCTCAGGGACTGTGGGCTGGCGGGAGGCTATGCTCTAGCTTCACCGAACCCTGGGGGCAGCCTTTCCGTCCTAGCTTGTGCTGTCTGTTTGCTCTGAAGTTCTGGGAAGGTCCCCAGAGCTTCAGACCTTGCCCACCTGGCAGCAAGTGTCACCCGTGTGCCCCTGAGTTTTCCCTCACCAGGCCTCATCCCTGTTTGCCTAAGCCTGCAGATCAGGAGATACCACGGGAGAGCACTGGGGCCTGGCAGTTCCCTCATCCTGCCGGCCCCCAAGGCTCAGTTGCAGATGTGCGGACTGAGGACCCCGAGAGACCCTGCTGCTATCCACAGCAGCATAGACTGAGGCTGTGGCAGTGGAGCTGGGGAGCAGCCAGGTGACAGGTCTCCAGGGAGCCAGCTACTTTGGGTCCCTGGCCTCTCTTGTTCCTCTCCACTGCCAGGCAACTCTGGAGGGAGGTCCTAAGGTTCTTGTGGACTTGAACCCAGAGGCAGCTGCCAGGCCCAAAGACCTCCAGAGTCCCTCACCCGCTCCAGCTGCTTCACCCCTGCCTCTATTTCTCCTGGTCACCATTCTTTTTGGCTTCCTGTATGGGTTTAGGTAGGAACACCAAGTAGGCAGAGCTTAGGCCAGGTTTAAACTTCAAGTCCACCCTTTCTGGGCTGTGTGGCAGTGCTGGTCTTGTTTCCCATGTGGACAGTCTCCAGCTCTTCCTTCACTGGGCTCTTCTGAGATTGAAGCACGCAGGTGCTTGGCCAGCACCTGGCTCAGAGGCCTGACCACTGAGCACGCCTCCACCTCCCTTCCGGCCCTGCTGGGGCTTGAGAAGCAGTGCACTGTGAGAAGGGTGCATTCTGCAGCGAGATGGCTCAGACTGCATCCTGCTGTGCCTCTCACTAACTCTGTGCTCTCTGGCAAAGTATTAACCACGTGTGCCTCACTTTTCTCATCTGTTAAATGGGGGAGATAAACTCCTAGTACTGTCATGGAGATTAAATGAATTTATCTATGAGAATCTTAGAATGAGTCTTGGCACTTAATAAGGGTTGGTTGTACCATTGGTTGTTGCTATCAGTATTAAATGCTGAGGACTAGAGTCCTCAGCTAGAGGTAAACCAATACCCTACTGCCTCCCGCACCTTCTGTTTGCCCCCACTTCATCTTGTGCCCTGGGGAGCTGTTGGGAGGGAGGTGTGACTGCTAGGGCAGCAGGGCAGAATAGGGGTGAGGGTGTTCCCCCTATCTTCATGTGTGGGTTGATTAGCTACATTTACACAACAGATGCATTGGGACACCGCAGGGGTGTCCTTGTGGGTTCATTTTAGGTGGCCTTTGCTGGACAGGGTGCAGGCACAGGAGCTGTCTCTATTCTGGGCTCTGAAAGGGACAAACCAAAGCCCTTGTTGATGTCAGGGGTAGGCTCCAGGCAGCTTTTCCCAGCAGTGCCCTAAGGGACTTCAGTGACCTAGTGACCTCTACTTAGGAACAACTGAAGCCAAAACATGCTATTCCCTCATCTCCTAGCCCTTGGTGGTTGCCCTTGGATTTCGGAAGCTTCTCAGTCAAAGATGGGGAGACACCCTTTACTCTCCAGCTCTCAAGTCATTAATACCTTTAAGAAACATCTAATGCGGGCAGCTTTCAAACACACAGAAGTAGACTAGAACAGTCCTGTGCCCGTCGCCTCGCTTCAGTAATCCTGGCTGTCATGTTCTTGCCTGCTGTGGCTTTTTTCTGTATAGGTTTTGAGTAGAAGTCAGAATGTGAAGGGTTCAGAAGGCCAAAGGGCAGACACTGATTGGGAGGATTTTGTGCCTAAGGCTGTCTGTCCTCTCCCAGGGCCACAGTGAATAACAACAAGGCATCTGCCTCTTGGTTTCTTGGCCTCCGAGTGACATCCCTCTCCTTAAGCTGGCACTAGCGTTTGGTGGCTGCAACAAAACACCTGAGAAAATCACCTTGAAAGAGGAAAGCTGCATTGTGGCTCGTGGTTTCAGTCCATGGCTTTTAGGCCTGTGGTGAGGCAGAAGGGAGGGAGGAAGGGAGAGAGAATGGAATCTACCCTTCAAGGCCATACGCCCTCAGTGACCTGCCCTGGGCCCTACTCTGAATGTTCCACAACCTGCTTCCACCGCCACCTCTCTGCATATGCCACTTAGTTATAATCCAGCGATGGATCACTCCATCGATGACATTCCAGTCCTCAATCCAGTTGTCTCCCAAGACTCCGCCTCTGAGCACTGGTGCTGCCTTGGGGTCTGAGCCTTCAACACAGGCGCTTGGGGGATATTTCAGATCCAAACCAGCACCGCACCTCACCTTAGGAAAAGGGGACCGCAAGGGTTCCTACATTCCCCAGCTCCTTGGGGATGCTTGCTATTGCTCCTGTCCCGGAGAGGTGACAACCCGTGATGGGTGTGCTCCATCGCATCGGGGCTTCCTGAGGCCCTGGCAGCTCTTCCAGCAGGCAGAATTTCCTGTGCTGGGAGAGGTTGCACTCTGCAGTATGTTTCCTCCTTGTCTCCTAGGAATAAAGTCATCCAGGCCTTGCAGTGCCACACTTTGCACGAATGTGTGCTGGTGGCTGTGACCTCTGCCACTAGCCTTGATGTAGCTGCTGGGTTCTTGGTCCAAAGCATGTGTGCTGGAATTGATACCCCTCCGCAGAGGACAGCCACATGCTCACCTGTGCGCCCTTTCCTGTTATTTCTCTTTGAATGCTGTGAAGTCCACTCCAGTCATCACTCTATCCATTCCTCACTCCATCCATTCCTCACTCTACTGCTGCTGCCAACAACAATAATAATAATAGCCGGGCATGGTGGTGCACACCTGTAAACCTAGCACTCAGGAGGCTGAGGCAGGATAATCACCTTGAGTTCAAGGCCAGCTTGGGATACATTGTGAGTTTGAGGCAAGTCTAAACTACATAGGGAGACCATTTCAAAAAGCCAAAAGAGCAAAACACCACAAAAACAAACAACAATAACAACATCAACCCGCCCAAATTCCAATAATAATAAAGAGCAGAACTTACCCCATACCTCACCTATGTGGCAGGCAAAGTACCAAGTGCTTAACATATATTAGCTCATTTAATCTTCAAAATTATCCTATGAGATATCATGGACCCAGTTTACAGCTGGTTTACAAGACTGGGGAGAGGAAGGACTGGAGGGGACAATGACCCCTGGCTCCCAGAGCTGAATGTTTTTTATGTCCATGAACCTCAGCTAAGCTAGAGTTTGGAGCCAGGGACCCCATTTAAAATGAAATTTTCACACAAACTCATTCCTGCCTAACATGGTAAGATCTGCCACCTGCTGTGGTAGTATAACACTCTATAATTAATATAGTCTCAGGGGTTTCATAACGTTAGAGTTATAATCATCGCATGTGCCCAGGCTGAAAGCTCTGAGGCTAAATGAGGTAAGGCAGTGGCCACAAGCCCAGAATACCAGTCCAAGGCCAAAGACCAGGAAGACACTACGGATGCCCTCACGTGGGTGGGGGTGTTCAAAATGTGTGATGCAGGCTTTCAAATCATTCTTTCATATAATTATATAGCAAATACTTATTTTGTGCCGATTGTGTGCCAAACACTGAAGTAGGTCTTGGTGATGGAATAATAAAGCAAAGATCCAGTGCTAAGAACCCCTCCCCCCAGCTGCTGTCTCTAGTAAAGTGGTGAGTGGTCTAACCAAGTGCCCTTGAGTTGGCGGGCAGGCAGGAAGAAGAAAGGACAAGTGGTATTTTGATCAATTATGCGCCATTAGCAATTATAGTAAGTATTAATTTGGAGGTAGCCTCACAATTTAGAGGGAATAAGGTCAAATGCTGATGAAAATATGAGGCAGCTGCAAAGTATAATTTTGGAGGAAGGTAAGTTGGTGTTGCAGTGTGAATGTATGAATCCCCCCAGAATTCCTATGTTGAAACCTAATCCCAAGGTGACAGTATTAGAAGGTAGGGCCTTCGGGAGTGATTAGATCATGGGGGTGGAGCCCTCACCACAGACAATCAGAAGAGGACTTCCAGAACTGCCTCAGAATGCGGCAAGATCGCTGTGAAAGTATATTTGAGGGGGAGGGTGTATTTTCAGGGGAGTTAACGACAATGTGTCTTTTACTATAATGTGTTTTTTAAAATTTAAAAATTTGCCAGACATGGTGTGCTTGCCTGTAATCTCAGCACTCAGAAGGCTGAGGCAGGAGGATCGTTGCGAGTTTGAGACCAGCCTGGGCTACAAAGTGAGCTCAAGGCCAGCCTGAACTGCATAGTGAGACCCTGTCTCAAAAAGACCAAAAAAACCACAAAAAACATTTACAGTATACATATTTTGATCATACTACGTATCTTTGAAGCAGAGAACCAGATGCTCCTTTGATCTTGGACTTCTTAGCCTCCAGAACAGTATAAATTTATGTTTCTATTTTCTTTATTTTGTGGTACTGGGGATCAATCCCAGGACCTCATGTATGCTAGGCATGCACTTTACCTCTGAGCTATATCCTCAAACTTTTTAATTTGGGGACAGTGTCTCATGAAGTTGCCCAGGCTGGACTCAAACTTGTGATCCTTTCTATCTCAGCCTTTGGAGTAGCTGGGATCACAGCAGTGCACTGTTATTTCAGTATAAGAAATTTTTGGTATAAATTTCTGTTGTTTATAACTTACCCAGTCTAAGGTATTTTATTACAGAAGTTCAAATGAACTATGACAATTCATGTGACCCTGTTAGAAAACAGGCAATATCCACTAAAACCACATAGGCCTAATCTATGACCCAGCAAGTCCATTCCAGGGTATGCTTACTGCAGAAACAAGAGCATACGGTATGTCCAAGATGTGGGTAAGAATGCTTCTAACCACTGTACTACCCACAATGGCCCAAACTGGAAACAAGCCAAATGTCTATCCCTAGTAGAGCTGTCATAAAGTCACACCGTTGAATGATAGCATACAGCAATGGATATGAGTAAGAATATTGCTATACACAACATGGATAAATCTCCCACAGACGATGTTGAGCAGGGGTCTGTACACACAAGAGTAGGATTCTATTCATGTGAAAAGTACAGAAATAAGCAAAACTGATCTTTGGTGTTAGAAGTCTTGAGAATGGGTAGCTCTGGGAGGGACAGAGCTGGCTAGGGGACTCTGGAGTGCTGGTCTACCTCCTGATCTGTGTGTTGATTTCATAAGAGTGTTCAGTTTGTGTCCAGCTCCCTGTTGGAGATGTGGAAATAAATGAAGCCATCCAGATGAGAACAACAGAAAAGTCATTTAGTCAGAGCTTAAGAAGCAGTCGGCCACCATCACTTGCATTTGGCAGGGACTCAAAGACAAAGACTGGGAAACTGTACAGTGGAAAAAGAGAGAGAAGGGAAGGCTCAGGTGTGTTGTGATCACAGGTTGTTGGCATGGCTACCCAGAGTTGGGCTAACTGGGCTATGCAGAACACAAGGTTACAATGCATTTTTTCCTTCCAGGAAACTCACTCCAAAATTCCTAAGACACAACAAGCCTGTCAATTGGGCCCATGCCTTTTACCTGGAAAATGGGCTCATGATTTTCTTTTGATATGAGAGATCCCACAAATCCCAGACTTCTACCCACCCCTCAAAGCACATAAATAGAGCTGGGTATGGTGGCACACACCTGTAATCCCAATATTCTGGGAAGCTGAGTCAGAAGGACTTATAAGTTTGATCCCAGCTTGGGCAACTAAGTGACTTAGTGAGATCTTTTCTCAAAATAGGAAAGTAGTTTAAAAAAAAAAAAAAAGACTGGGGATGTAGAACAGTGTGTGCAGGTCCTAGATTTAATCTCTAGTGCTGGGGAAGAGAAAGACCTACACTGATGATCTCGAGTTTCCTTTCTCAGCGACATCACTAGAGGGCACACACTAGAGGGGCACTCAGAGACAGCGGAAGGAGGGAGTGGTAAGAGGCGGACGCGGGCAGAATAACATGGGTGGGAAGCTCTGGATTCTTGTCCCACATCCACAGCCAGTCTTG